CGCACGGGTGGGGGGCCGGGGCGGGGGGAATCCTCAGGTTTGGGATAAGTCCATAGGTCAAAAGGAAAAAAAAAACACATAACAAGAAAGGAAATCTTAATTTTATCCTAAAAACTAAAAAGTGGGCGCGCGCTATTTGGGCGTCTCGAGCGGCCGCTCTGTCACACACATGCATGTGTATTTTTTTGTCTCATAGCGCATGTTGGTGCTGGCATTAAATGTGTTCACCCATCAGTTAGAGAAAACAGATCCATGTACTTTTATTTTGGGATTTCAAATTCTTTTAAAGCCGCATCTTTTAAACCACACGTCGGAATTCAGTCCCGTTTTCATCGTTGGATTCATCGCGACGAGATCTTTGAAACTAGATCCTGCATGGATATGTTTCGACGAATTTTTTTATGCCAACTTTGATGCTATATGGCGCAACTAAAATACTGCATTGTGCAACTTTAATACTACATGGTGCAACTCTTTTTAAAATCAGTTGGCTTGTAATTTATTCTAGTTGTACACACATTAATGTTTATTTGGTTTATAATGTAGTCTAGTTGCACACACGTTGATGTTTAGTTGTCAGAAGGACTAGTTACACACACATATGCTCAGTTGGCTTGTAATTTAGTCTAGTTGCACACATATTGATGTTTAGTTGGCAGGACACTAGTTGTACACACATATGCGCGATTGACGCGGCAATGTAGTCTAGTTGCATACACATTAATATTTAGTCGACAGGACTAGTTACACACATATATGCTCAGTTGGCGCGGCAATGTAGTCTAGTTGCACACACATTGATGTTTAGTTGGCAGGACTATTGGCACACACATATGCTTAGTTGGCTTATAGTCTAGTTGCACACACATTGATGTTTAGTTGACAGAAAGACTATTAACACACATATGCTCAGTTGGCGCGACATGTAGTCTAGTTGCACACATATTGATGTTTAGTTGGCAGGAAGACTATTTCGTCGAAACATACCCATGCGGGATTTAGTTTTGAAGAGCATGTCGCGAAGATTCCAACGGTAAAAACAGATCGCAATTCCGATGTGCGGATTAAAAGTTATGTCTTTTTAAAATTTTGAAACCACAAATAAATGCATAGAAGAACAAAGTGCATGCACCGAAAGATATGGTTGTGTTGCTATTTAATACGTCGCGGAAAAATGGATTAGATGAGAAAGATTTCCTGATTAGGAAAGGGGACAAAAAAATTTCTTAAATAACCGGCCGCTTGCTAACCATACTGAGCGGCTGGGCGCCGGCTAGACGCGTCCTAATTTTATTTCGCGCGAAATCTATTCCTAGTATACCCTAAAAAATGGAAAACATATAAAATCTATCGGATGATAACAGGGGATAAACCACGCGCACTGATCGACACGTGCCCTGCGGGCCCATCCACCGCTTCCGCGGCTGTAGCCTTATCCCTTCCCGTCCTCTCTCCTCCACCCGTTATTCCCCATTTCTGTTCATAGAGACTCTTCCATGGCGACGCAAAACGCAGCCAATCCATGGAAGCAAACCAGGAGGAGTGATGGCGCCAACCACCCTGTTGCACCCCGCGACGTAATGAAGGACGGTGGAGCACCGCGCGGCATCGCCACGGGTGCTGCAACTCCATGGAGGTGACACACACGCAGGGGGGAGGCGGTCGCTCGTCGGCACTGCCGGCGATATGATGCGGCGCTCGACAACGACCGTCGGTGCGGCGACGCAGCAACTCATCAATGGCACAACTCTGCGGTCCAACCTCGAGGCAACACTATTGGCGCTCCAAGTCACCGGCAGCGTAGCTGCAATGGAGCACTCGTCGCCGGCAACACTTCATCGTAGCATCCGCCATGGCCGCTGGCGCCGCATCTCAGCTTCCGTCGTCGTCACCACGCGCTGCGTCGCAGCATCCGCCATGGCCGTCGGCGCTGCATCTCAACTTCCGTCGTCGTCACCACGCGCTGCCTCGGAGCTTCTGTCGAAGCATCATCGGCGCTGGTGACCGCGGCGAACGACCGATGGGGGCACTGAAACACCGGCGATGGTTGCCTTGAAGCTGCAATGGAGCAACACCGGTCTGTCGGAAGCATAGCTGGCGCTGCAATGTAGCCTCGCCGGAGTTGCAATGGAGCTTCATCGGACGCACCCATTGTCGGTGTCAAAACCGGCGGATCTCGGGTAGGGGGTCCCAAACTGTGCGTCTAGGCGGATGGTAACAGGAGACAAGGGACACGATGTTTTTACCCAGGTTCGGGCCCTCTCGATGGAGGTAAAACCCTACTCCTGCTTGATTGATATTGATGATATGGGTAGTACAAGAGTGGATCTACCACGAGATCGAGGAGGCTAAACCCTAGAAGCTAGCCTATGGTATGATTGTTGTTCGTCCTACGGACTAAAACCCTCCGGTTTATATAGACACCGGAGAGGGCTAGGGTTACACAGAGTCGGTTACAATGGTAGGAGATCTACATATCCGTATCGCCAAGCTTGCCTTCCACGCCAAGGAAAGTCCCATCCGGACACAGGACAAAGTCTTCAATCTTGTATCTTCATAGTCTTGGAGTCCGGCCTCCCTCAGTAGCCCCTGAACCAGGCTTCAATGACGACGAGTCCGGTGCACACATTGTCTTCGGCATTGCAAGGCGGGTTCCTCCTCCGAATAATTTAGAGAAGATTGTGAACACCAGGATAATGTCCGGCTCTGCAAAATAAATTCCACATACCACCGTAGAGAGAATAATATTTACACAACTTCAATCTGCTGACGTATTTTGTAGCATTACATCACGCCACGGCCAAGCCTTTACTCGAATTGTTTTTATTGTTCCACCTCAGCGCGTTTAGCGAAGCGGTTTCCTTGGCACGTCTTGTCGAAGCAGAGATCGTGTCCCCATATTCCGGGATTCTCATTAATACGGACGTGGGTAACCCAACCGCGCCCATCGCCACGCCCCCTCCATCGGAGGCGAGTTCCAAACGGTCACGGGGACGACTCTTGGTATTCTACCCCTTTATAATGAGACCAAGGCCTGTTCCTTTTCTTCAATCCTTAATCGAATCCGCCCTTCGCCCCGAGTTCCAACACCCAAGGCTCCAGATTCAAGCGCTTCGGACCTTCGCCAATGTCCGGCTCCGACCTACAGGGCCGGTGGACGTGCTAAAGCTGAGAGACGCCAGGTATCTAACCTGTGAGATTTCGCATAGGCTGCCCGCCCAAGGGCAAGTCATTCCCACCCCCGAGCCTGGTGAGAGCGTGGTGTTCATGTCTCACTTCCGTCGGGGTTTAGGTTTCCCGACAGACCCCTTCGTGAGGGGGCTCATGTTCTATTATGGGCTGGAGTTCCATGACTTGGCTCCGGAGTCCATCCTCCATATCTCATCTTTCATTGTTGTCTGCGAAGCCTTCCTCCGCACTACCCCTCACTTCGGATTGTGGCTCAAGACTTTCAACATGGAGCCGAAGATGATCGAGGGGCGACAGGCAGAGTGAGGAGGGGCAGTTATAAGCAAGAGGGCCGATGCTCTATGGCCCGAGGGCTCTTTTCAAGAGGAGCTTGGTTTGTGGCAACAGGAGTGGTTCTACATCACCGCTCCCAGGGGCACCAGGCAAGTGACGCCACCTGCCTTTTGCCCGGGCCCTCCACAGCGGCTGGCGTCATGGGTCAACAAAGGGCTTGACTGGGGGCCGTCCAAGGACGTGCCAATACTGCAGGGCCGGATTCGAGACCTCCAAGAGAGGGAGATCAATCTGGTTGTAGTGGCGCAGGTTATGCTGATCTGGCGCCTTCTGCCCTGCAAATGTCGCCCTCTCCGGCTGTGGGAATTCAATCCGGAGGGACCGCGTGCTCTCCGCCACTTCATGGGTGCGACGCCCATGGAGATGTACAAACTATTCTTCGGATCACAAGAGATGCATCCGGACTTGACCGAGGATGCTGGCCTAAGCTGCAATCGCCTGGATACTCAAGTAAGTAGTTCCCGTGCCCGAATGTGTTAACCGTGTATTCATCATAATTCTTTCTCCTTTTTTTTAAAAAGCTGTCCCCTGAACAGGAGTGGATAGCAGAAGCAAAGCTTATAAGGTGTCCGGCCCCCCTCCCTGAGACCACGCCGGATCCTGTGTTAGCCAAGATGCTGGAGGCTGTGCCTTTAGAAGAGGGAGAAGGGGGAAATAGGGAAACTACCGCCTCTGCCAAAGAGGCTCTCAAGAAAGGGGGGATCGAGAATCCCTCCCTCCAGGGGTAGGAGAGGACTGCTTACGAAGATTCGGAGGCCAAGGCCTCAAAGCGGGGGAAGAAATCTTCACCGGAGGGTCTTGTGCCAGGAGAAACCCCGGCCGCACTATTTCCCCAAGGGAATCGGCCCTCCAGCGAGCCGTAAGTAGAAAGGAGGAGTTTTATAATAACGGACATCCCTGTTTTTATTTCTGAGGATAACCGAAGTTCTTACCATGTAATTCGGATCTCAGCCCTTCTCAGCAGAGCTCATCTTCGGGGGATCTTCGTCCGGAGATGATGGAGAGCGAGACGCCTCCATCTGCCGCACTGTCAGGCGGGGCGGACGACCCTGAGGTGTCGTCGCGGAGGGTTCCCCCGAGTCCGGCGGGGCCGGAGAGTTTGGCACCAACTGGTGTACGGCCGGAGGAGCTGAAGGATCTGCTCGAGAGGGCGTCTATCCCAGACGGTCACCGTAC